TTATTTGTTGTTTACGCTATCTACCTATACGTATCAAGCATCACAATTCCCGGCGAATGACCTTGCAAGTTGCACGCGTTGGGCATCACAGAACTCACATAGTAGATAATATGGTCGATTATAGTCAGCATAGGTACTTTACCTAAGTAACTTACTATTTCACAATGTATTTTTTTACTCTTTATTAACAGCCCTTATTATCACTTGATAGCTTGATACTGAAACTCTATAAAAAGGAAGATTCCGAATGAAATGAAGACATGGCTTAAAGAACAAGCATCCAAGCCAAAAAATCTTAATAATTGAGAAATTAGTTTTAAATAATAGTTTAACCGTTTTCTAGTGTAACACACAACATAATGCGTCAGTGATTTTATCTTTAATTTTTTGTACTTTATACCACTTTTTTTATTTTATTTTTTTAACTTTTAACACAGCAAGAAACATTAATCTTTACATTTTTTAAGAAATTATCTTCCCCGCTATAAAATTTGTCAAATGATTTACCTCATTAATAAATATGTAGCTAACTAGCCTTATTGTAAAGTGGCGCTGCCCTAGTGGCAGAAAGTGTCGTGGATGCCCTCATTTAGGCAGACTTACTTAGGTTTTTTGGTGTTTTCAGCCTAGTTTGATACACAGATAACTATATACTAGTCAGAGTGTTTGATGTGTCCATTGGCCACTTTTTGGTGACCGATGCAGGGTCTGAGTCTTTCATGAGAGCGAAGTATAATATTCTTTGCTTACACAATCGTCATCATTTGTCTGCTAGATTACTATTATGTCCTCAAAATCTTATAAAGCTGTCGCAATGTGATGCATCAGCCTATTAGCATAATGTGGAGAATCTTGTGAACAAAATATGTCAGATAAAGCTGTATTGATACCTTCGCCTTTAAGTAGAAAAAAAAAACAACTTGTAAAAACAACAAATAAAATAAAGCTTACCTTTCACTATGGGATATAATATATATTATATCCCAAGATATAAATTATACCTCGCAATTGGCTTTCACACTGTGAGATATATCTTTTAAACAGTGTGCGTTCGGCTGGCTTTTCACTAAGGGATATAATATATATTATATCCCGAAATATAAATTATATCCTGCGGTTGGCTTTCACGCTGTGAGATATATCTTTTAACCAGTGTGTGTTCGTCGTCTTTGAATTACCCCCTGTACCCCGTACACGGTTCTGCGGCGGTGCGGAATGGTATGCGGGGTACAGGGGGCGAAATATAATACGAAAATATCGCTCGGTCGATCGAAAAAATATTGATAGTTTGAGATGTAATATATATTATAGCTCAGAGTAAACAGTTCCATTTAAAAAAATGGTGAGCGATATTAATTTATATAAAAAAGATAAACACTCACGCCTGTCACCCAGAGGGGTAGGCAGAGACTATGGACTTCCATTTGGCACGATCCTGACACACCTCTCTCACTTCCTCCACATCCATATACCTCTGCATACACGCTCGTCGGTAAAAGGTACTCTTGATTTGGCCCATTTTCAATATATCGCCAATTTGGTCGATAAACTTTCGCCTAGGGCGTCCCTTCCCGACTCTGCCGTTAACCTCTGCAACATTATTTTGCTTTGTCACTCTTTCCTCATTCATTCTTTCTACATGACCAAACCACCAAAGCATTCCTTTCTTAATCGTGGTCACAACACCATCTTGCAAACCACACTCTTTTCTAATCACACAATTTCTCACTCTGTCTTTTAGATTCATCCCTAACATACTCCTTAATGACCGCATTTCTACAGCATTTATTCTACTCTCGTGCTTCTTCTGCCACACCCAACTTTGACTACCATACATTAAAGTAGGGACTAACACAGCACTGTGAATTGCCTTACGTGCCTTTTTGGACACATTCTGACTTCTCACAATAGGGTGTAGAGCCCCATTCACTCTATTTCCTGTATTCACTCGTCTTTCTATATCCTTATCATGTCTACCATCCTTAATAAATACACATCCCAAATACTCAAACTCATCTACTTGCTCGGCCAACTCCCCTTCTATTCTTATTTCACATATCAGTTTACTTTCTTCTCTTTCAAAAACCATAACTTTCGTCTTACTTGCTTTCACTTTCATTCACTTTTCTTTTAATGTCCTGTTGATTAATGTAACCATCATTTGCAACTCAGCCGCCGATGATGCAAGTATGAATTGATCATCGGCAAAAGGCATTTGACGGTTAACTCACCCATTTTTAAGCCGCATTCGTCTACTTTCAAATTTTCCAAACAACTGTCCACAAATAGGTTGGACAGCCACGGGGAAGCCACACAGCCCTGTCTGACACTTTTATGGATGCCAAACCAGTCCGAGTAGGCTCCGTTGATCCTGACACATGCACTAGAGTCCCTATACAGAGATTTCAATGCCTGTATCAACCCAGCACTCAACCCAAATGAGTTCAGTGTTTGCCATAACACATCCCTGTCCACTCTGTCATAAGCCTTCTACAAGTCCACGAACGCACAAAAATCTTTTTGGTTTTTGGCCAAAAACTTCTCCGCGATCATACACATGGAAAAGACCTGATCTGTACATCCCCTTCCCTTGCTAAATCCCGCTTGCACATCCCAAATTTTTCCATTAGATTATTTCATAACTCTTTCAAGTAGTACCTTAGCATACAGTTTTCCCACAATGCTAAGAAGGCTGATACCACGGTAGTTTTTACAGTCCTGCTGTGATCCTTTTCCTTTATATATTGGGATTATTACGGCTTTGCATCAGTCTACGGTACCCACTTAAGTTCCCAACATAAATTAAACAAGGTTTATAGCAGGTCTGCCACCACTCCTTCTCCAGCCCTTAGCATTTCGAGAGATACTCTGTCATATCCGGCTGCCTTACCTGCTTTCATACTTTTCATTGCTTTCATTATTTCATCTATAATTATGTCTCTATCTATTTCCTCTTCTTTCGGAATTTCTATTTCATTTAATTCAAACGTCTCATTACTCATAAACACGCTTTTAAAGTATTCCTTCCATTTCCTTAAACTCAAAACTTCGTCATTCAGAATACAGCTATTCTGGTCTCGTATAGTATTCATTCTAGGCTGTTTTGAATGTCCCCCGGCAGGTCTTACGAGTTTCCAGAACATCTTAATGTTTGCCTGGAAGTTATTCGATATTCTTCTATCATTCTTATCCGTTCTTTCTTACTTTTCCGTTATATATACATAATTAGAAACTATTACACTTCTGACATTAGAAATTATTCTCAAAATAATGTAAATAAAATAATGTTACTCGTATTAGAGTTTACTCTGAAGGCTAATTGTTAAAAATAATAAAAGTGTGAGAGTGGATGTTCAACTTGCTCTCTTGCTTACGCAATTGATCATTTTCGGAAATAAGACAGCGTACAGCACTATACATTCAGTATAGAGCAAATACAGTTCGACCAACCGTAATATGTACCAGACACAATCACACATTGGTGTAACGTGCAGGACATAATTACATGATAATACCAAAGTATGTAAAGCAACAGCAACACTACTTCTCTTGTGTAACACCGGGCAGCCTCTCAGCAACACGATCTTCCTTGCTTACACTAGAAGAACTACTACACGAATAGAACCGCATCACTTGTCTTATTTGGGCAGAATCTTAGTGTAGAGGTAATGTTTTAGCCCAACGGGCATAATAACGATATGAGACTCGTAGAATTACAGACTAACTGATCCCTCTTAGTCGACTGCGTGATACTTTATAGTGCTAAAACAAGTGGGAGATTATAGTTCTACCTTCAACATTTCTTATTTTATTTTATTATTTTACCCTTATTCCTAACAATATATATATATTAATATTATTCTTTCTCTACGGAACAAATGAACATTTTTTTAATAACTGGCTTTACGGCTCTGGGATCAAGCCCTTCTGAGCCTGAAGTTACAATATAAATTATAATTATCCTTCATAGTATACTGCTTCACAATATTTTGATGCGTCACATTGTGCAGCCCTTGGGAGATTTTGACGGCAACTTGAGCCAGCAGACAGCTGACGGTTGGCAATGGTATCTCAAGGCGCCTAAGCAGACAGACACCATATCTTCGACAAAAAATGAGATTGACTTAATACTAATAGTTCACATGCGCAGACACTTAATACACAAAATCGCACCACTTTTATATATCAAAGTCCACTTCAAACCATTATTTAAACAATAATACAGGAGCAGCAAACCGCCGCCGGTCAATTTCCCGCTAAACTTTCACAAATGAACATCAAATGATTATGCTTCCTCTACACTACTCGCGAAGTAACTTCGACGAAGTGCTTGTCGAAGTCGATCGCAGTCCGAAGAATTTGACCACACACTCATGCTACTTCGCGAAGAGCTCAGTCGTATTGAGTCTCCCGCACCCTTAACATGAATGACGTTCAAGAGGCAGCTGCTATAGGTACCTAATTGTGTGAACAGTATGACGTCAATGCGTTAACTAAATAAATAATTATGTAGAAAGTTACATATTTAATATTTATATATAAAAAAAATATTCATAACTGGCGTACGCCGAGTAGTGTAGTGAGACGCTTCGTGTAACTTTGGGGTACTTCGAGAAGTCCTTTGACTCTGGCGCAAAAACCGACAGCGACCGGAAGTCGCTCGAGGCGAAGCGAGTTTGGACGAAGTGAATCGAAGTCTCTACACTATTCGCCTCGACTCGACCAACTTCGATCTACTGCGCGAGTACGAGTAGTGTAGAGTCTGTGGTGTATGAGGCATTATATCACAGAACATATATATTTTTCAATCTACTAGTTAGCACAGAACACTATTACTCCAGTTAGTCCATAGATAATACACTATATACCAGGAAAGTTCCTGTATAGGACAGTTACTATACTCTTTGAAAGTTAGTCTGTGATATATATCTGTGGTTATGAATTTTTAAAACCGTATTAGTGTTTTATAAAGTCAAAATTATACATTTTTCATTGTAATAATGGTTTTGGCCCATAATATTAATGAAGGGCAACGTACATTAGACATTCATATAAGTCAAGATGTTTCTTTTGATACTATGCTACTTTCTTGTGATACAATAAAAGGGTTGAAGAATTCAGGATTTTATAAGCCTTCACCGATTCAGTTACATGGTATTCCTCTAGGAAAATGTGGATTTGGTAATGCCAAAAGCTAATTTCATTACTATCACTTTATTTAAATCACACAATGCTTGTAATTGCATTGCTTTGATTACATTCAGGAATTAGTGGTAGATATAACTTGATTAGTCGTATTATATTTTTGTATTCGTGTTATTTTCATTGAAAAATTTTTCCTTCTTTTAATATAAAGTTGTTATAAGTATTTCACAATTTCAATCTGTGAATTTTTTTTTGTAGATTTATTGTTAGAAGCCAAATCTGGAACTGGAAAGACAGCTGTTTTTTCTGTAATAGCTCTGGAAAAATTAGATCTTAGTAAAGGATTGCAAGTCGTAATACTTGCACCAACTCGAGAAATAGCTATGCAAATATATGATGTATTAAAACAAATTGGTGCAAGTTATAAAGGTAAATACTAAACATAAAGAAATGAATTTATTACATTATATTACAGCAAACATTTTATTGAAGTAAATACATATTTCAGGTCTTTGTGTTGAAGTAGTAATGGGAGGTCTATCTATTAAAGATGATATTGAAAAATTCACAAAGAATGTCCATATAGTTGTTGGTAGCCCAGGACGCTTGAAACATTTGATACAAGATAAATACATTAATACATCTGCAGTTAGATTGTTAATCCTTGATGAAGCAGATAAATTGATGGAAAAAAGTTTTCAGACAGATATAAATTATATACATTTAGCATTACCAAAACAGAAACAGGTTATAATGAGCAGTGCAACTTATCCTGAAATGTATAAGACATTTTTAAAGAAATTTGTCCAGAATGCTCAACATGTTTGTCCTAATAGCAATAGTATTCTGTTGGGAATTGAACAGAAAATAACTTTAGTCAAATATAACAGTAATATAGTTAGACAAACACAATATAAATTTGTAGAATTATTAAAAATTTTATCGAATAGACATTTTAAACAATGTCTTATATTTTGTAACTATCAAGCAAGAGTTGTCGAGATACATAAAATGCTGAAAAGAGAAAAGTGGCCTGCGGAACAATTATTTGGGCAGCAAGATCAAACAGACAGATTAGATGCTTTAAAAACTTTGCAAGAATATAAATGTAGGTTATTAATTTCCACTGATTTAGCTGCTCGTGGAATAGATGCTTCAAATGTTGATTTAGTTATAAATTTTGAACCTCCATTTGAGTGGCAAACTTATTTACATAGGATAGGTAGAGCTGGAAGATACGGATCTTATGGCACAGCTGTTACTATATTAAGTGAAGGGATTGAACAAAATAAATTTATAAAATTGTTGCAATCTGCAAAACTTCCTTTCAATTTAACTGATTATTGGACCAATGTTAAATTCTGCTTGAATGATGATATCTCACAAAACTGCATATCTGCTGATAAAAATCTGTGTTCAGAAGAGAAAAATGTTTCAAACCAAAATGTAAAAGAAAATTGTACAGAACTATGGAACACCTTGACAGAGAATAATCAAAGAAATGATTTTGAAAGTTTTGAGAATATTTGTAAATCGTTTAATGAAATGGAAACAGATAAAAATATTGAACCATTTAGTGATTTATTACAATCATTTGAAACAAATCAGCTTAATACTATCTGTGAAGATTACAAATTTAATCAGTTAAATCTTTTACAACCACCAAATAATCATGTTGTTAAACATATGGATGTATATAATATTAAGGAAAAGTATTACAACCACAAAATAGAATACTCCAAAAGTAAAAATAACGACTTAAACATAAACACTGTAGGAAGCAAAAAAGAAACACTTCTATACAAAGATATAAATTATACCTCTTCTGATAAAAACCCACATATAGAAAAAACTCTCAATGAGATACACACTAAACATGATGGTAATTTAAAAAGAGTTGAAAATAATTCAACAGTAACCTTAATAAGTGATAATAAATATGTAAATAACAAAAGAACTGTAGCGCCTAAGACTATTTATTTAGATGGCTGTGAAAATATGTATAACTCATTAGCTAGTTTTGGTCTTCCAACTGCTTTTTCTAGTTCAAAAAATCGAAAAAATCCCACTAATGAAAATGTTATGGATTTAAAGAATTCTCAAAAAGTTCATCATCAAAGTGATAAATATTATAACAATAGAAAAGATTCAGTAGAAGAGTTTACTATTAAAGGGATTGATCACCCTAAACAACTTTCAAAAAATGTGAAATACAAAACAGAATTATCTAAAAACAAAAATAAGTTGCAAGAATACAGCAATCATTTGATTAAAACACAGTCTCAATTTACAAGTCACATGAACAAAGAGAAAAGGGAAAAAAAATACTGTAATCATTCCAATTTAGATTCTTCTAAATGTTATTACATTCAAAAATATAATGATTGGTATAATAAATTAAAATTAAGAACAAAGCAAGTTGAGATTATGGTATACTTAGAAGAAATTAGTAAGTTATAAGGAACAAGAATATTATTTATTCATTAATAACTTAAGTAAAAGTGAATAAAAGCTGTTTATCTATCAGAATTAACCAAAACTGTTGTGTGGGGTTGTATAAACTCACTATAACCCACAGATTAAATGATTGAAAATTAACTTTAAACTTAGTTTTTTTTTTAATATTAGGATATTGTTTTGGTAAATATCTGAACCAAAAGAAATATTTATAGACCATACAAACATTTGTTCTGTGCGGGGATTGAACTCGCGGTTAGTAGCTAGACAACCAATCTAATCTACTGAGTTTTTGTTTTTAATGGATATAAGCCTTTGGTCTGATAATTTTACTTGGAATATGTGTCAGGGTTGTCAAAATCCTTGATTACGTTGTCAATAATTTCTTAAGCAAAAATCTCAAACAAAAATACTCTCGTCTAAAGTAAAAAATCAAATTGATGCCATTATAAGCTTAAATCTATTATAGTATAGATAAAAAGCTTGTCACAATCACTTTTAATAAATATTCGTGTTTTATTATTCATCCTCATCACTATTACAATCAGATAAAAAAATAAATATTGTTTTCCCACAATAGCAGAATACTCATAACCATTAAGAATGACACTGTTCTTGGGTGCAATTAATATCAACACAGTTGAAATTATGAAAAATACTTAGTAGTAATAATATTATTAATGTATAATGCAGTAAAAATAATATACATTTATCTTTTCTTTTCCTTCGCTTTTGATAAAAATGAATCGATTGACAACTTATTTTGTAAAATAAGTCTAATGGGCAACTACGGAGAAATATTGATATTAACATACATACATACTTAGAAGGTCAAGTACAGAGTACAGAACCCTTTCTTTAAATCGTAATCGTAAATAAAAAATATAAGTTGAAAGTGATAACCCATGGTTGTATCAAAACATTTCAAAGTAACCGTCACATCGTGGCATCACTAGTATGGTAAGGCCGCGTTCCGACGACACGTACCCGCTACGCGCACGCCACGCGCGTCAGCACCCGCGTCTAACTCGCTTTGGAATTTGTTGCATATAATTTGAGTCTTATGGCAAATTAATAAATCTGAAATTGCATTTATCGACGTTCAACCGCATACGCCACGCGCCCGCCTCGTTCCCGCTCCGCGCCGGCCCCGCGCTCGCCCCGCACACGCTCTGCACCCGCCGCGCTACGCCGTACGCCCGCGCTTTTTATACAATTTCAGATTTATTGATTTGTCATAAGACTCAAATTATATGCAACAAATATCAAAGCGAGTTAGACGCGGGTGCTGACGCGCGAGGTGTGCGCGTCGTCGGAACGCGGCCTAACTTTGCCAAGTTAGTTTTATAGATAAATGTAAAGAGCAACATGTTTAAAATGATATACCTATTACATTTCCTAACCATTAATATTATGTTATAAATTAGTACAAAGAAATATTATGTAGATACCTTCATTCAGTATTTCAAGAAAAAATAAACCTGAAAAAATAATATAAATAAAATCACATTTTTTAATATGCTACGCCCAAAGACATTTAAGTAGTAGATATAATATGTCGGAGCGTCTATAAAATACCCGGTTGGATCGAGGTGCAATGGAGGGTATATCGAGAAACCCCCGCTTGTTTGTGTAGTATAAAGTTCACTGTAGGTGCCGTGCGCGAGAGATTCCGCTTAAGTCATTCAACGAGTGTGGTCATTCTACTAGTGCTAAGATAGTGTCGTGGTTTTGTTCGTTGTTGTAATTCTTCTAGTGCAGGCAAGGAGGATTAGTGTTGCTGAGAGGCTGCCCTGTGTTACATTGAGATAAGTAGTGTTGCTGTTGGCAAAGAGAATATAATCACTACGTTTAGCTGTTGGTTTACATATTTTGGTGTTATCATGTAATTACATACCTCACGTTACACTGGTGTGCGATTGTGGCAGAGACGTGTTACGGTGTGGTCGAACTGTAATTTCACTATACTGAATGTAGAGTGCGTTACGATGTCTTATTACTGATAATGATTAAACTGCGTAAGCAAGAGAGCAAGTTGAACATCCGCTCTCACACTTTTATTATTTTTAACAATTAACGCTATCCTGATGTATTTCCAAGATCAAAATTGGAATTCACCGACATCAGAAGTGGGATCTCCTGTTGTCATTTCCGACATCAGAAGTGGGATAAGGTCCCTGTTATCGTCCACATATAACCTTCGAATAATGTGAGGGTTATTACGTTGGTGAAAGACTATAACGCGCCTCGCATTATGTTTGATGTTAAATGGCTTAATGAAGTTTTTTGTCCTATTTACGACTTTGACGTACCATTAAAGTGTAAAGTAAAAGTTAAAAGTGAAATGTTTTAACCCAAAAGTTAAATCTTTTTGTTCGGTTTATAATAAAAAGTACCCGTAAGTACTTTCATTATTTCTTAAGTCGAAAGAAATGTTGAAGATATTCTAAATGAGTTATAGTTTGCATTCAGTGGAAGTTTAACTTGCTCAAGTTATGTTATAATTTGATACACGAGGTGTGATTTACATGTGCTAGTTTTAAAATTCAAAATGTTTAAACGATGTACCGAAAAAAGGAACATGTTTACTTTAACGTGCTATGAATTAAATACACCAAGTAGTATTTTTGTGTTCTAATGTGTTGATAAGTGTTACAGTTTACTGCGAGTATTACGTAGTCGATAAAATTGGGATTTGATGTTGAGGGCTTCGTGGAAGATGTGGTGCTGTGGCACTCGCTCTTGAGTGGAAATATGCTGTAGGATTATGACGCCGCGGACATTTTATTTGCCGCTGCTACCGATCACCGTTTGATACAACATGAGTAAAGTAAATTTATCCTAAACATTGTCTTAAAAAATATTTTGTAAGAATAAGTGTTTACATTTTTAATTGGTTGCGAAAAATGCCGGAAAACCAAAGTATAACTGATGAAAGTGAAGTAGAGCCAATTAGTTCTGACATCGAAGAGAGTATTTAAGTTTGCATGAGGATCGGACCATACCAGAGGTTGTCGTGTAGCCGCAGCTCAGTATTTGGTGCCCTAGAAAGGCGAATGGTGTACCAAGAGTAGTGCTGCATTTCTTGAAATCAAGTTCCGACTGAGTATTTTTTAATGTTTTCTTTTATGTGTTACAGTAGCACGTGTGATGTGATTACAAGTGCGTGAGTGTGTGCCTTGCTGGTCGTAACGGACTGCCAGGTCCAGCTGTAACATGGCCTGGTTTCGGCAGATGCGTATGCGCGTATACGCAGGCGCCATTCCGGAGCGCGCGTATGCTGTACATGGCGATGCCTCGGAAGTCGTGTACTCTGTATGCGTGTGCTCTGTGTGCGCGGAAGTCGTATGATGTGTGCACGGTAATGTTTTCTAAACATGTATTAGGCTCTGTCCTGGCAGGCGCTGTCCTGGTTCACGTTTTTAATGTGGTTCACGTGGTTAACGTGGGATCTCGCAAGTTCAAGTAAGAGTATGTGTCAGATACTTCGTATGAAGATTTATGTTTACTTGTGAAAGCGAAGTGCTTTCTTATAGTCCACGATATGAAAGCGTATTTCTGTTTGAGGGACTCGTATGCGTGATGGATGAGAGGATAAGCAACTGTGTATGTTGTCCTGATAGTTAACAATTTGTTTTTCACGCAGGTCATGATGACGACAACCCCGACGATGCCTGTGAACCCTCAGGTGCTCCTGCTGCTCGCGTTGACGCTTCGAGTGCGTGATGCGGCGCAGCGCTTCGCTGGCGCTGGTGTGGCGCGACGGCTTGCAGTGCGAGTGTGGCACGCCGTGTGCTGTTCTTTTAGCCACGTGAGCTTGCCACATGGTAGCTAAGTATGGCGTGTGCTGGTTTGTTTTAATAGCCACCTGCCCTTGCCTTATGCCTGCTGCAACGGCGAGCAGTGAGCGACGTGTTCACGTTTGCTATGTCAGCAATCCCAGCTGTGTGCTGATGAATACTGGTGAGTCGTACCCATTTTATTATGATTATGGTGCCAAATGCTCTCTCATCAAAGATTGTGTTGCGCCAATGTTTAATGGCAAAAGTGTAAATAATATTGTAAATTTGTGAAAAGTACCCCACAAATACCCCCATGATCATCTAAGGAAGATCCCCGATCACAAAGTTCCTCGAGAGTTAGATGTCATAGTTGATGACAGTGGTAGTGAGACCAAATTTGATTAAGAATGGCTTGTATACTCATACTCAAACCTTAGACCGCACCTCATGAGTAACATGTGGCGATGGGTCTGTAGGAAATCGTTGGTGCGATTTCTGTCTGTGTTGGTGGTGCACAGAGCGCTTCATGTGTTGTAGCACATATTGCGTTAGAGTTTCGAGAATTGTTGGTGCGATTCTTGTCTGTGTTGGTGCATATTTGGCGGCAGATATGTAGGGAATCGTTGGTGCGATTCTGGCATATGTGGCGGCAGATGTGTTGTAGCATATTTGTCGGTGGATATGTGGAGAATCGTTGGTCGATTCTGGCATATGTGACGGCAGATATGTAAAGAATCGTTGGTGCGATTCTGGCCTGTGTTGGTGCACAAGAGCCCCTTGTGTATTGTAGCATATATGACGGCAGATATGTGGAGAATCGTTGGTGCGATTCTGGCCTGTGTTGGTGCACAGATTTCAATGAAAGTTTCAAGAGTTGAATATGCATTGCTTATGAATTATGGTAAAAGTAACAAAATTGTTAAAATTACTGTGTGTGTGACCTTCCACAATAAATCATGTTGTGCAGGAAGCACTGTGTAAGAAGCCTTAATAACAAGGCATTTTCAATTATGACAGTTGACTATTGTACTTAGACTTAGGAGAAGTAAAGTACCATTTGGAATCGACCTTGTTTCTATTGGCAGGATAGCCGAGCTAGATTACTCTGAGCATATTTTTGTCCACAGACACTGCAACCGAAAACGGGTGCTAGTCAGGAATGGCCGTGTTGTGGATTGCTGGCGCCATAGTGCAACAAGCAGCGCCGTCTAACAATTAATTTTGCGAACTAATAATATGTACCTGCTCATGTCAGGACGGACGAGCGGACGAATTGATGGACTATTAGTGTTCGTTACAGGAATGCATGAAAATACACGCCCGAGGACGGTCGTACGTCAGGATGGCCGTGTCGGAGCGTCTATAAAATACCCGGTTGGATCGAGGTGCAATGGAGGGTATATCGAGAAACCCCCGCTTGTTTGTGCAGTATAAAGTTCACTGTAGGTGCCGTGCGCGAGAAATTCCGCTTAAGTCATTCAACGAGTGTGGTCATGCTACTAGTGCTAAGATAGTGTCGTGGTTTTGTTCGTTGTTGTAATTCTTCTAGTGCAGGCAAGGAGGATTAGTGTTGCTGAGAGGCTGCCCTGTGTTACATTGAGATAAGTAGTGTTGCTGTTGGTTTACATATTTTGGTGTTATCATGTAATTACGTACCTCACGTTACACTGGTGTGTGATTGTGGCAGAGACGTGTTACGGTGTGGTCGAACTGTAATTTCACTATACTGAATGTAGAGTGCGTTACGATGTCTTATTACTGATAATGATTAAACTGCGTAAGCAAGAGAGCAAGTTGAACATCCGCTCTCACACTTTTATTATTTTTAACAATTAACGCTATCTTGACCAAAATTGGAATTCCCTGTTGTAATTCTCCGACATCAGAAGTGGGATCTCCTGTTGTCATTTCCGACATTAGAAGTGGGATAAAGTCCCTGTTATCGTCCACATATAACCTTCGAATAGTGTGAGGGTTATTACGTTGATGAAAGACTATAACGCGCCTCGCATTATGTTTGATGTTAAATGACTTAATGAAGTTTTTTTGTCCTATTTACGACTTTGACGTACCATTAAAGTGTAAAGTAAAAGTTAAAAGTGAAATGTTTTAACCCAAAAGTTAAATCTTTCAGTTGAATCACTATTCCCTGTAGCTATATCATTGGACCGGCAAACGCCCTGCAATGATAGTAAGAACCATTTTTTTCTTTTTCTCTCTTTTTTTTCAATTCAGTATAGAACAATTACAGACTAGCCATACCGCAAACATGTCTCTGTCACAATCACACAAAAGTGTATCGTGAGGGACGTAGTGACATGATAACACCTAAGTATGCAAACCAACAGCAACACAACACATCCCAGTGCAGCACAAACCAGCCTCCCTGCAACTCCATCTTGCTTTCCTGCACTAGAATAATTACTTCGCTAGAGTGTTGCAACGTCTCTGTATTTTCTAGACGCACAGACAAGGCTACCTCTGACTGTCGCGCGTCCTCGTGCGGTTGACAGTGAACAGCATACGGTCTATCAGTTATCACCACCTGCTCACAGATATTAACTCTTGTTAAACATTACAACGGTCGACCATCCCAGACTTCATTTAAGTCATGAACGCGCCGATATGGCTACCTCCAGGCAAAGGCACTCCAGCTTTCCATTCTGCTGCGTCCGTGCCACATTCGCGCCAGCGAGCCGTCGGGCCGTACTAGCGCTAGCAAATCGTCGTACTGCTTTGCAAAATGAAAAGAAATCGAGATAAATGTATTGCGAACCATGGAAATCCGAGCTTCCAAAATTCATCACATATTCTCTTAAGAAACGGCAACTGTATGATATTTGAAAACATAGCAAAAAAAAAAAATGGAAACTATGTGTAGAGACAGATACCACAACATATTTCGAAGCGAAGGAGGCAACTGCGCAAAATCTACGAAAGCCGCCCATTTACAGCGCCAAAGCACCATTTGTTCGGCGGCCGCTTGAATTGCCCTGCCGTAAGATCAGCCGATAAGTAGTCGACTGTAGCGGTGTAGGCTCAATCTAACCAGCGCTCGGCTGTACCTGACCATGTTCGATTAGCCATCACAACGTCTTCCTCATTGATCATTGTTGTAGAGACTTCTACGAATCCCTCGACATCAAACCCCAATCTTGTCAACGACACAATATTCGGAGCAAACTGCAACACTGATCAACACATTAGAACACAAAAATGTCACTTATTATTTTCAATCCATAGCGTGTTAAAGTTAATCCTTTATTGTAGTACAACCCTTCTCTCACAATCTCTCACAATCTTACGCGCTCTTCTGCAACCCGGACGTGTGTCAGTCAGTGCATTCGTGTTTGCTCCGATCGCCTAGTGACTCATCGTGTACATACGAATAGTGTTGGCACACGGCTACTTATTGCACAGAGCAATAAATATACAGAGATAACAATTACTATTACTTATTGTCATGTCTCTCAATAACACTCGCACCAAACAAAACAGCGCTACCCGATTTTCTAATAAATCTCATGGTGAAATGAGTGTGGACACTGCTCTGAAAGAAAAAGGATCTTCGCCTGACTACGTGACGCTCCGTAAAGGTGTAGCTGATCAAAATGTGTTGGATCTACGTAGTGAATTTCATTCTTTCCAAGAGAAGATAATGGCATCAATGAAGGAGTTCTTCGACAAACAAAATAATAAAATAACCAAGTTCATTGAAGATTTTGAAGACTTGAAGACTTCAATCCAATTTATTAATGACAAATATGACGACCTAAAAAACCAAACTGAAGAGATCCGCAGTCGATTATTTGAAATAGAAAAAACATATAAATCATCCCAAAACAAGGACGATCTGATTATGGAGGTAGGAAACAAGCTTGATATTTTAGAGCTTAACTCACGCCAGTGCAATATTGAAATTGTTAATCTTCCAGAAAAACGAAATGAAAATTTAATTTCGATTATAGAAAATATAGCTGATGTCATCAAACAACCAATTAATAAATACGACGTTGTCGCTATTCATCGTGTACCACACCTTAATCCCAAAAGTGCGCGACCTAAGAATATCATTGTTAAGTTTGCGAATCGGATGTTACGTGATAACTTTCTTTCAGCAGCTCGCAAAGAGAAAGGTTTAACAACAGAAAAACTGCAAATGCCCGGAACTATACACAAGTTATACTTTAATGAGCACCTAACTCTGAAGAGAAAAATTTTATTTCGTGAGGTTCGGGAAGCTGCTAAGAAGAATGGTTTCAGATACACCTGGATTAAGCACGGCAGCATCTTGGTGCGTGCAAACGATACTTCTCCTGTTATCAGCATTCGTTCTGGCGAAGATCTATCAAAAATCAAATCAAAGAATGGTCCAGTTAATTAATTTTTACTGCTACTCGTACATAGCTGAAACTAGCATTTTATTTCCATCTGCATTGACTTGTTGTCTCGAAGAGGTTATTCAAAGGTATTTATCAAAAAGCATTATATTAATTAATGTCATCTATAACCATTTCATTGCTCTGTGTTGGTTACACTTCTTCGCCGTGTATATTGAATTATTTTTTATTTACCGGCATTTTGTTTGCTATACAAAGGATTTATTTACGATATTTTACAAACAATATTCTACTTTAAAAATACTTCGTTGTCAAATTAATACTAATAATTATAATATGAACATTGTAAAGCGTATGAAGTTTACTTGCAAGTCGTTTTACAATATATTACCAAAACTGTAGGGGCTTAAGAACCAAAATAAACACTCTGTATACAAATATATTATCAGACAGTTACGATTTTATTATATTAAGTGAAACGTGGTTGCTTCCGAATATTCTAGACAGCGAATTTATAGATGATAGATATGTAGTACATCGCTGCGACCGGGACCGAGTCTTGACAGGTAAACGGGACGGCGGTGGAGTTTTAATTGCGGTGCGTCGAGGGTTGCCCATTGCTCGGTACGAACTAATAGGTTCACATGACTATCCTATTTCACCTTGTATTGATTATGTATTTCTCAGTCTTAATAGTCAAAGGGGTGATACTACTATTATTTGCGGTATTTACATTCCGCCTAATATGAACGGATTAATTTATGAAAATTTTTTAACATCCTTATGTAACAAAATTATGGAGATTAACTACCAGCACGTTTACGTAGTTGGTGATTTCAATCTTCCCAATCTACAATGGCAGTGATCAAACGGCATTCAATATAGCATCCACATCTTCTTACCCCCACCTTACCAACTATGACAAATCACTGCTTAACTTTATGTCATCATTAAACTTGAAACAGTTAAACACCATAAGAAACCCTTTGGGCCGTATTTTAGACTTGTTTTTATGTAACGAGGATAATTGTGTTTGTGAGCTGCCTCCAAATCCGCTACTGCCATTGGATCGTCTACATCCAGCATTTTATACGATTATATCTCTAGGCCACACATATAAATCTATGACTCACTCGTCTATTCCGAGGTTCAAATATTTAGAAGCAAACTATTCATGTTTGTACCATTTGTAAATCTATCTCTGACATCAACTGGTACTCTCTTTTAAAAGGGCTAACTGCTGAAATTTCAGTTAATATATTTTATGAAAAAATTTATGAAATTATAAGAATGCATGTACCGCTTCGTTCGTCAAAAAGCAGTAACTTTCCAGTTTGGTTTTCTCGACCCCTAATCCATATTTTTAAAGATAAAGAAAAATATTGGATACGATGGAAAAAATATAATAATAAAGCGGATTATTCCCAGTTTTCATTACTTCGACACAGATTTAAAACACTGTGTGCTGATTGCTTCAATACTTACATTAATTCCATCGAAGAGGGACTTCAAAAGGACATCAAATCATTTTGGTCCTATGTTAACAATCGCAGAGGTAAAAATGGAATTCCTAACGTTATGATTTATAAACATAAAAAATCGGATAACCCTGAGGGTATATGTGAATTATTTTCTGAATTTTTCTGCTCAGTATATGAAAATAGACGGCAGTTACAGCAGGAGAATTTTAGTAATCAGCCTACTAATCCCAATTCTGAGATTATTTCAAATATCTCCTTTTCTGAGGATAGTTTAGTCAAAGAGCTCATGTTACTCGATATTAACAAAGGACCTGGACCTGACGGCCTTCCACCATTTTTCCTCAAACACACTGCTGCAGCTATTAGTATTCCCTTGTGTCTTATCTTTAACCAATGTATTAGTGAAGGGACTATGCCCCAGATATGGAAGAACGCCAATGTAACACCAGTCTACAAGAGTGGGTGCAAAAACGACGTTTCTAACTACCGCCCCATATCTTTGTTATCAACTATATCAAAGGTTCTTGAGAGGCTAATACATAAGCAAATTTATCCTACATTACATAACATAATTATACCTGAACAACATGGATTTGTAAAACATCGGTCAACAACAACTAACCTTGTTCTCTACACAAATTATCTTTTTCACTGCATGGATAACCGTTTGCTAGTGGAAGCAATTTACACTGATTACGCTAAGGCTTTTGACAAGGTTGATCACAACATACTTTTAAAGAAATTGGCGTTCAATGGAATACGAGGAAACTTGTTAAGATGGATTTCATCATACGTTTTAAACAGATCTCAACGGGTTATTATTAATGGTTTCTCATCTAATATTATAAATGTCAGCTCAGGCGTACCGCAAGGATCTATTCTTGGGCCTTTGCTTTTTATTTTATTTGTGAACGATATCGGTGATTGTTTCCGTTTTACGAAATTTCTCCTTTACGCAGATGACCTTAAAATTTATCGCAGTGTCAATACTATCGAAGACTGTGACAAAATACAACAAGACTTAAATCGCTTGGCAAACTACTGTGAAAAAAATAAACTTTTTTTTTTTTTTTTTTTTTATGGGAGAGGGGGCAAACGAGCATGCGGCTCACCTGATGGTAAGTGACTACCGCCGCCCATGAACAACCGCAACACCAGGGGAATTGCAGATGCGTTGCCGGCCTTTTAAAAAGGAGTAGGCTCTTTTCTTGAAGGTCCCTAAGTCGTATCGGTCCGGAAAAATCGCTGGTGGTAAACTATTCCACAAGGAAGTTGTGCGAGGAAGAAAACATCTTCTAAATCGCACAGTGGTGGACCGCCAATCATCCAGATGGTGTGGATGGTATCGGGAGTTCTGCCGCGATGTGCGTTCGTGAAATTTGGCGGCTGGGATTAATCCGAACAATTCCTCAGAGCACTCCCCATGGTAAATGCGAAAGAAAATGCTAAGAGATGCAACATCTCTTCGCAGTGCCAATGAGTCGAGCCGATCGGAAAGGACTCGGTCGTCGACGATTCGAGCCGCTCTGCGCTGGATGCGGTCAAGTGGAAGAAGCTGGCACTGGGGAGCCCCAGCCCAGAGATGGGAACAGTATTCCATGTGAGGCCGAACCTGCGCCTTGTAAAGTTGCAGGCGTTGAGCCGGCATGAAATACTGTCCCGCTCTGCTGAGCACGCCAAGCTTTTTAGAGGCCAATTTGGCCTTCTCTTCCAAGTGACCACGAAACTGCACGCTACTCGATATGTCGACGCCGAGGATTCCGATACTGGCTGAGGCAACAAGGGGAGTACCTTGAAACTGAGGAGATACGACAAAGGGGTTCTTTTTAGCGGTAAACGCGCAAACTTGTGTCTTCTGAGGATTAAACTGGACTAGATTTAGTCGCCCCCAATCCGAGACTTTGTCCAGCAAAGACTCGACTTCAGACACAAGTTTGTTCCGGTACTCGGTGACGTTTTCCCGAGAAATATTGGCATGGCCGGTGTATAGAGCATCACCAGTGCTGTCATCTGCATAGCAATGAATGCTACCAGCTTGCAACATATCATTGATATGCAGAAGAAACAGCGTTGGTGATAGCACGCAGCCTTGTGGAACACCAGCGTTAATAGGCTTGTAGTCGGAGCATGCACCGTCTACAACGACCTTGATGCTCCGATCTGCAAGAAAGCTGGTGATCCAATTGCACAATTTCTCGGGAAGCCCATAGGAAGGGAGCTTCGAAAGAAGCGCTTTGTGCCAAACCCGATCGAAGGCCTTCGCAATGTCCAGACTAACGGCCTAACTAACTAAACTTCACTTAAGCACATCAAAATGCAAACATATTACGTTCACAAAAAAAATTTACATTATTAAATATACTTATAAACTAAACTGTACTACGTTGGAATCGGTATCTTTAATTAGGCATCTAGGATTGTACTTAGACTCTAAACTACACTTTGATGAACACGTAACGCACATAACCAATAAAGCCTTTCAGCTTTATGGTTTTGTGATGCGGACATGTTCTTCCTTCCAACATCCCACCACATTTTTAACTTTATATAAAACTCTAATAAGATCTCAGGTCGAATATGCATCAGTTATATGGAGTCCAATGTATAATAAGTATAGTTTACAGTTGGAGCGTGTTCAACGAAAGTTCTTAAAATCTACAATGTTCAAATGCTTTAAAAGTAATTCTAATGAATGTTATGAACTTTTATTAAGAAAATTCAGTATTCTTTCTTTAGAATCAAGAAGAATACTCTTGGATCAAACATTGCTTTACAATATCTGTCATAACAAATTTGACTGTAATGAACTCACCAATCAAATATACATTCGTATACCCAGTCGCTCGAAGCGTATACGTGAGCTTCAATCACATCAAATTTTCTTTCCTAAACCAAGTAAAACAAATGCCGGTGCGCGTGCACCTTTAAATCGTATAATGGAACAATACAACAATAAATTTAATGAAATAGATATTTTTGGATTAACTTCTTCCAAATTTAAAAAGCTGTGTATGAGTTTCTATCTGTATCAGATGCAATTTAATGTAATTGTTTATTTATGTTTAATTTAATTATTTACATTTATGTATTAACTATGTATGTGTATATGCGTGCGCATGTACATTCATATATATATCAGTTTGTTTTTCTCTGTATCTACTAGTGAACGGGTCGTTTTAATAAAACATTAAAAATTTAATTTTAATTGTTTAGTACACTGACCCAATAGTAATATGTGGATAACGGTGTTGATTGTATGATTATTAAGCTTAAATATAGTATTGTGTTTAATAATGTGATTATATTGTACGATTGTTTGTT